GCGGTGCGTGATTTGGGGCCCCCTGGGGCAGAGCATCTGGGGCGCTGCCGGGTTGGTCCCGCAGCCCCGAGGGGCAGCGCTACGAGACCAACCCGGCAGCACCCCAGCTGCTCTGCTCCCGGTTCCCCGATTCAGCTGCTGGTCAGTTTCAGCAGCAGCTGAATGGGGGAAGCCTGTCCGGCTGCCCCAGCACTTCCGGGTTCCTGATGGTGCCAGACCATCAGGAGTCCCGGAGCATTGGATGCCAAACTAATGGAGTTTTACTGTACTTTCTGAAATTAAAGAGTATGTAGCAATCCATGGTATAAAAATATAGAGTACTACCTGTATTCAATTAAAAATAAATCTACATTAACTTAAAAATGTGAATGCAGATGGTCTACCAAAAGTGACTGATACCAATCTAACCATGTATTTTACAGATCTTCTCTCAAAGATCTGCTTCACCACTGTGGTTGAAGAAACTGCTTGTATATGTATCAGGAAGAATAAGTGAGCAAGTACAGTAGATTTATTCAACAAAAAATTCCATAAGTTGCACTCCAAAAATATCTTTCCTTCTGTCTCAGCAAAACCATAAAAGCAGCACTGCAGTGGAATCTCATTAATAAAATGTCATTACTTTTACAAAACACAATATAGAACATTTACTAGTAGTTATAAATATTAAAATGGAACAGATTCTTCACTTCTAGCTGACTGAAAGTTACTTTGCATGTTCAATTAACCTCAATCTTTCCACTGCAATTCTTTAAATTATAGCTAAGCTAATAAAATTAGTTCTCAAGACTACTGGCATAAGAAATTTGTTTTAAAAATCAAGTGTTAATTCCACAGAAACAAGATGTTTAAATATCTACACTAATTATGAATGCTATTCTAAAAAGCAAACATCTGTATGTTGCTTTAAATCTAAGAACACTTCTAGCAAGACAAGTCTCTTAAAAACAGGTGTTGCGAGCAGAAAAGATTATATAAAAGACTGTACTATAAGGAAACATAATCTGCAGTACAGTCAAAATAAATTTTGCTACACAAAATTTTCTTGGAGCTGGAATAAAGACTGATAGTTTTCCCTAGGGATAACATTTTGTTGTGTTAGTTCTGTAGTGTCCCAATGAGTTCTGAAGCAGTAGCTGCTATAGCAGCTACTAAGAATGTTATATATCAGATAGTTCAAGTGATTACTCAACTATTCAATTCTTAATGGTTACTCCACTATTCTATAGTCCTTGGGGGGCAGGGCTGGCTGCCAGTGCAATCTAGTCCCACTCCCCGGAAACCTCCTACCATCCTGTACTCCTGCCTCTGGATCCAAGGTAGCAGCACAGGGTGAGAGCTGGAACACAAGGGGAGCCAAATAAAAAGCAAGTTCCCTGCACAGACCAGCTACCTGCTGTCACATGGCTTCTGATACAGAGGCAGCAGCCCCTGTCTGCAAGGGTTAAACCACGTGAGATATTATAAACCACCTGATCAGGACAGTGATAATGACTTTGAAATGCTAAGGGAGATTAGAGAGGCTATCAAATTTAAAAAAAAAACCACACGATTGTAGTGGGGGATTTCAACTATCACCTAAGGACAGGATGCAGAGATAAATTTCTTGATACCTTAAACGACTGCTTCTTGGAACAGCTGGTTCTGGAACCCACAAGGGGAGAAGCTGTTCTTGATTTAATCCTAAATGGAGCACAGGATCTGGTTCAAGTGGTAAATATAACTGGGCTGCTTGGAAATAGTGACCATATTATACTAAAATTGAACATCCCTGTGATGGGAAAAATACCTCAGAAGCCCAACACTGTAGCATTTAATTTCAGAAAGAGGAACTACACAAAAATCAGGAAGCTAAACAGAAATTAAAAGCTAAGCTGACAAAAGTAAAATCTCTGCAAGCTGCATGGAAACTTTTCAAAGACACCGTAATAGAGGCCCAACTTAAATGTATACCTCACATTAATAAAAAACATAGTAAGAGATCCAAAAAAGTACCACTGTGGCTTAATCAGG